CATTTGTCGTCTAAAATCGTCGATAAGATTTTATCACGGCGCGCATCCTAGCCCGGCTGATCTCTATAAACATGGTAATGGGATATTTAACGTTTAAAGACGTTTAATATGACATAAAGATGTTATTTATACGACGTTTACGCGCTCAGCCGCGCCCATCCGAGGGATTTGATCCTCTGCCATTTGCTACCTCCTTCGGATCGTTCACTGCCAGATTAATCTAATTCATTCAATATTTCGGGAAGCAAATGCACCGATCTACATGAAATATACGATAATATCCCAGCTAATATACATTTCCCACCGAATAAATCTCGTATGCGTAACGTTACGAGAAACAATAGGGTAAAAGAGTTATTGACATTTGTTTCATTCAGTCATGCTCATGCACAGAGTGAATTGGTGTAGAAAGTGTCAAATAAATCATGTGAGAACTAAAAAGAATGTCAGCGAGTTAGTTCCGTCAGAGTTGGTAAACTGTAAGCGCACAAGCTGTCTCCGGCCGTCGGCTGTTCAACATTCAAACCCGTTCAAAAACACAACTCCATGAATGTTATCGACGCGAGCTGGACCCATCGAAGCGTGGCCAACATTTTAGTAAACTTAATCCAAGTGAGGCGCTGTGATGTCGATGAATTGTGTTCATCTTACAAAACTTTCTGACAACTCCGAAGAATGTCCGGACGGTAGCTTAGAGTGAGCAGTCGACTGTACAATAACTCAAACAACGAATGTACTTACTGGAGTCTTCAGGGACGTCCCGACAACTTCTTTCCTATTTAGATAACAGAAATTGTTTCTAACTTCCCTAACTGGCTACTCGAGCAGACGCGATGGTGCGAATAACAAGCACCTCTTATCACTCCGATGGATGCAAAGCGCATTAGTGGCAATTTGCAACGGCTGCAGTTGGATTAAAGTAACCTGTGTAGGGAAATATGTACAAAAAATAGTTAATTTTTCAAAAAGCTAGGTAACTCACATTTTTGGGGCTTTTATGTTACATACATATATCAATATTGTTGTAAGAAGTGGACTGTTTGCATTATTTGATCTGCCGGTGGTAAATTTCATTCCTACTGTAAGAAAAAACGACGAAAAAGACAGAACTTTAGGACCATTATATTAACAGAACCTTCCGAAACCAACAAAAAATAATAGCAAAGTACAAAAATACATAAAAGTTGGTATCAGACAAGATCTTTCTTTGTTGCTTTGTGAAACTGCATTTAAACTTGAGCTACCTATAATTAGACCTGTAACAAAATAGTTTGCATAGATATTCCGGTTATCCTCAAACATCAAAATCGATTCTCCATGAATGCCTCCTATCTTTTGCAATGCGGATTCCGTAAAACATTGTTAATATCCGAATGGTCAGTCCATGTATCCGCTATACATTTCTCGTTAATATTCAAAATATTCGCGGCGGACTGCGATTGGAAACCAAAATCGGCCAAAACCACAAATTTTATAAAAGCCTTTAGTAATTACGATAGCTCCGGTTTGCATGGGGAAAATACATTTAAATATGCTCGGTTCCCATTCATGCTTTCATTTGTTTTATTAAATTACGAAAATAAAGGTGAGTTCATGGAAATGCGGTAAATAAATAAATGAATTTTTTTTCGTAAATAGGTATGCTTTTGGTGCTATTTGTTTGTTTTTGTTCATTTCAGCCAAACGCCATCCTGCTGGACTCTGCAGTTTACTGGACTGTTTTGCGAATTGAACATAGTTTTTAGAATTGATCCATTGGGGCAGAAATGCAGAATATTCAAATCCTTCGCACAAAAACAAATACGTTTTTAAAATTACTTAGGTACTAATCATGATCGTGAAGCATTAAGCGTCGTCATTATGGAACATACACGCTTTAAATACTTCATTTCAGTTGATTTAAGACTTAGAGCGAGCGAGTTAGCGAGCCACCTGAAATCCACACCGTCATTTGAAGCTTCAAAGTGAAATATTTCTTCGAATTTACGAGCTTAAGAAGTAGAAAGATTTTTGTGCACGTCACAATCATTCCCTTCAAGGGGTTAGTGTTCATTGGGTGGAAATAACAAAGACGATAAAACTGTTCGCTTGGAAAAAGGATATTGAATGAGGTCAGACGCAGATATATTCGAACAAGAGGCAAATGTCGGGGTGTTCGGGACAGCCGTTTGCGCAGTTTTTTTACGTCGTCTCCGGATCACATGTTTTCGGTTTCTTTTTAGGGGTTTAGTTACGAGTTTCGACACGTCCGACTTACAGTTACATTTCTGTTTAGATAATAACAAGGATTTTTTTCTACCTGGAAACACAATATTCGTCGCGCCCAAAGTAAACATCACAACCTTCACTAATGAGTAATATATTCTACGTAAATTAAATCCATTTAAAGACAAATGCGATGCTGGATGCGGGCAGCGCAGGACCGTTCATTGTGGAAAACCTTGGGGGAGGCCTTTGTCCAGCAGTGGACGTCATTTGGCTGAAACGAACGAACGAACGACGAAAGACAGTTGTAAGACACTACCAATAGCAGTCTTTTTGTTTCCCAAAGTATAACTTCGCTGATTCGTGTACAATAGCTATTTTAATCCGGCAAGTGCAGTCGAGACACCATGCCTCCCATTGTTGAGTCACTTGCGTTAAGTTAAAGTTTTCGTTGACATCGCGGGGTAACTTTAAATATTTCCGCCCAACTTTTGCAGTAAAGCTCAAGATGAGGGCCGCTGTAAGCGTCGCGCGAAGCTATCGTGTAGCGTGTGGGCGCAGCGGTGCTCAGTATACTCGTAGTGTACACTGTACGTACAGCTATGTAAACTGAAGTCAAGGACCAACTTTACAGTATTCCACACACGGCGTGTACTCGTAATTAAAAACCGACTACTTGCAGACTTATATTATGACACGTAGTATGAACCGACACTAATATTAATCTATGTATATTCAAGAAAGAGACAAGCTAGTGAGTTTGGTCTAAATGTTAAAATGCAGCCAAGTAACTAAGCTTCAAAACCTTAGCCTGGTTTAGGTATGTTCTGCAAAATATAAGGAATGGAGAATTAAAAAAACATAGATAAGATTTGTGAGTCATCAAATATTAGATTGCAGATGCCAGAATGCAATAATCACGCCCAGATCATGATTGCCTGTTACTGTAGGCCAAAGAAAAATGTGGGTTTTTTGAAGAAAGTATTACGTACCTTTAGTCATAAAAAGATAAGGTGATAAGAATTTATGATCTGAAATAGATACGGCTCTATCTACGGAACACAGCATCAGCAAAATCCGGACCGAGCTAACACCATTCGGTATTTCGGTGCACGACTTAATCCCTTCTAGTGTTGCCATGCGTGCACTAAATTGGAGGCAATGCATGTGATATTTTCAAAAATATGAATGCCGCTTAATTTAATTGCAACCTATTTCGATTCGTGTTGATAAATCGCCCGACGCGGAATCGAACGCGCAATGAATGGGCTGTATTAATTTGGCTATAACAGAGTTATGGAAAATACTGCATTTAAACAATAAATATTTGTCCAAAATGTGTGCTCTATTTTGTGTTGCATATTGATGTCTTTTTTTTCATGGCGATGAATAATAAAAATTTTGGCTGCACTTTTACAGGATGTTTATGACTCTACGTTGTCTAACATCTTCTATTGATGATAACATATTTATTTAGAAACATCAACACACTGAAGTCTAAATATGCATAAATAAAATAAGGTACACAAGAAATATTTTTGTAACCTAACTAACCAAGAAACGTCTTAATACTTCGGGTGTCATAGTTTATGTAATAACGTTCTATGTATGTAACGTTATGTAGGTAGTAACTGTCTACTCACGGACATTGCCCGCGGGCGGCGTGACCGGAGGGAGCGGCGAGCGTTCGGCGAACGAACGAGCAATGTTCGGTTCGCAAGCGAACATCTAAGAAGACGATCCTGACGCACTCTCTTCAACGACTTTGCACAAAACGGTCTCGATAACATTGTTAATTATTTATACCGAATAGACAACTAATTGTATACAGTCCACTCTTTCATTTAATTAACTTCTACTACACTCACTATCGAAGTAACAGTAACGTTCCATCTAGATAGGAACTTTTAGAGCAAAAACATAAACTCCTCCAATCATAATATTTAAGAAGTAGGTATACTATAACTTTATATTTGTCTTACATGATTTTGTTTACTTTATGTACATTTTTGTTGACTAAGTATGTTTAACGTTTCCCTTCATAAAATATGTCATCTTATCGTATTCGCATCAGGAATTTCTCTCTCCCACAAACGCTTAGTTTGCACAATAAACCCCATAGTATATCTTCTCAAACACCACTTCTAAGTAAAGCTTACTTTCAATTCAATCCGAGACCAATCTAAGGGAGGGAGGTGCTCCAACGTACCGCCTTTTGTACTGTATTCTTTGTGCCGCTCTACTTAAAAAGATAACTAGAGCTCTTCTATTCAAAGCAGGAGCTACTTAGGCTCTCTAAGATGGGATGAAGGATACCTAACCAGCTGATATCGGCTACGTATCTTTACATTGTAAGCATAATAAATTCTTAATACCTGAACGTCGATATAGGATTTCTTTAAGCTTTGAATTAAAGAAGTATAGATTCTCACACCTTCAAGTTTATTGCCATTAAAGATATCCTTGTAAACGATTAGGAGTGAAACATAACACAACACAGAGTTACTTTCTTGCTTGTATTCTTAGATGTAAAAGCCTTGCTTGTCATTATAAATCAATTTGCAGTACTTAAGTATAATAAACAAATTAATATTCTTAAATATTTGTCGTTATCTTAATATAAAGTCATTAGCAAGTTTTTTCCCACACATTCCTCGGAAGGCTTAAGTGGGTAAAAAGCACTCGTGCTATTTTTGTCATAAACATAATTAACAAATTGCCTCAATTAGCTAATTAAAGTACTTAGTAATATTCGCACCTATATATCGGAAAGGATTTAGAGGGTTAGTAGCTATTCAATATTTACATTTCATCGAAGTGATACGGTTCTATAATCCCGGTATTTTCTAAAAATGAAAATAGCTGTGAAAGACGCGGTGGCGTCCACCGACATTATTTACCCGTGCGGACACTGTAACATTATGTACAAGGATTACAAAACTTTGGTACAGCACCTGTTCTGGCGACATGGCACTGAGAGTCAGTTCTGCAGAAAGTGCTGCATGAAGAGGTGGCGTTACGCTGCACACATTTGTAACGTGCTGCCTTTTGAGGACAAGCAGTATGACGAAGAGGTTGATGAAACGATTTGTACCCAGGAGGCACCTGTTTGTACCCAGGAAGCACCCGTTTACACCCAGGAGGCACCTGTTTGTGCGCAGGAGGCACCTGTTTACACCCAGGCAGCACCTGTTTGTACCCAGGAGGCGCCTGTTTATACCCAGGAGGCACCTTTTTACACACAGGAGGCACCTGTTCATATCCAAGAGGCACCTGTTGATACCCACGAGGTACCAGTTTATACCCAGGAGGCACCAGAAGATAAACAAGAACACAGGGATAGCGAGTTCTGCATATGTGGAAAATACATATACAATTCAAAAATGATCGGATGTGATGCTAAAGCGTGCCACTACCAGTGGTTCCATTACTCGTGTGTTGGCATCCTGGAGCCGCCAGACGGCGAATGGTTCTGCCCGACTTGCACCAAACTGGAAACAACTAAGGTAATACTCGAAAATATATTTTAAATAAGTAATTATTTTAGCTAATTAAACTATAATATTCATTATTATTAGTTTTACCTATACATTTGATTCTCTTCATAATTTGTCACGAAGAGAGCAAAAATGAAAAGCCGTATTGCGTTTGTTCGAAAGTCTGACATCTTTATTTGGTTTTTGGATTTCTTTTTTATTCCTGTCCTTGACAGCATTATAATTAATTCGATTTTATCTTTTCAGGCAACACAAAATTCCAATGGCGCGGAGGAGTGGTTTTTAAGTTTCTGATACTTAATACACATAATCCATCCTTCAGAGCTGGAAATGCAGCTGTTGAAAATCAAGACGCGCAAATTCCCTGGCTCATATAGTGAAGATGATGTTGAATTAAGTGAGGACAACGAACACTAGAAGTAAATAATAATCTGTTCTATGTATTGAAGTGTATGTAGTGACTAATTAAGTAATTAATTAAGAGTAACGCCAAAAACATTAGTCCTATCATCAACCATTCATCAAATAGATGAATATGTAGTTAGGTAGGAATATACTTATATATTATACGTATTTTTCTTAAAAATAAGTTCTTATGTCGGCACGTGCCTGCACAGACATGTACCTACAAAGCAATGTTTATGATAGATTCACAAGAAAGATTTCTCAGAATTCAACTAACAATAGCATGTTCTTTGCTCGGTTTCTTTCTGTTATCGGAAACCTTACTATTTTATTGTATACTCCAAAATCTTCAAAAATAAAGGAAATAAAGGAATGTATTCATATTCAGTCTTATAAAATGTAATAAACTCTTATTATGTTTTTGTAATATGGTTTTATAATATGTTTTTAAATATTTTTTTTTGTAATATGTTTTTGTAATTTGTTTAATGTAATATGTTTTGTACTTTGTAATAATAATATGTTTTCATTTAATACGTACCCTAAGTTACACATTTAACATTTAAGACCATGATTGAAAGCAGTCATGTTAGTGTTCCGCAATGACGTGTGTACCGCGACACACTAGTGAAACTGTATGTGTGAATTTTTAGTAAATAAGTAAGGGTATGACTAATAAAGGTAATTACATAAAAACTGATTTTTCATTTGTGGTGTTACCTCCAAAAAATTTCGTTTTCCTAGATGTATTCGTACCTTGAACACACACAAAATTTTACTGATTGCATTTTTGGCATCAGTATCGATCACTAATCACCCCCTGATATTTTTTTATTTTTTATTTGTGGCAACCAAACCTCTCTGGGAGGTTTATTTCTGCCAATGTCGAGTGAAAAATATTGACATAGTTATCAATAGAACGTGGGTGTTTCAGTTCTATTGATTTTTCATGGATTCCGTGGAGTTAAGTATGCCCGTAAGCAGGTTTCGAGACGCCACCGGGTCCAAAGCGGGTTGTTCATACGACAACCCACTCGACACTCGATGCGCGCTCAAATTCGAAGTATTTCAATGTTTTTTTATAATTTATCACTTCACTGCACTTTAGAACACAAAGTAACACCAAATTTGTACACTAAAGTCCATTAAATAATAAATTGAAACCATTAAAACAGATCGACCATGCTTCCCGTTCAACTACCCTCCACGGAATCCACCCCCTGATAGTTATTTTGAAAATATATTTCATGTACAGAATTGACATCTCTACAGATTTATTATAAGTATAGGTGATGTAATTAATTTAAGACAGAAATTATTAGTAGCGAACTTAAATTAACTAGCATCGTATTACCCCCATTTGATTGAATTATAATTAACTATTTGGGGACAAAGTCATGAATGGAATATTTATGGGTAACGTTATAGTTACTACACCTTATGGAATATTGCGAGTACAATAGACCACAATATTGGTATGGTAATAAATATAGCTTCGTAGCTATGTGTAAATAATATTGGAAATATTGTAATGAATCTTTACATTTAACCAAAATAATAAACATGTTTCTTTATTCTATTTATAGGTACTCGTAAGTACAACTTCTGCTAGTAGACCATAGGTATAAAGAAAGTCGTAAGATAATTATTAATAGACATAAAGAGAATATGGAGTACCTAAATGTAAATCAAAAGGTCACTACTGAAAAATGCTAAGATGATGTTCACGGAGTGATTTCTTCAAGGCGTATTTGGACGGGAACATTTTATCTCAATAGGTAGAGCATTCCACAGACGAATTGCTGTAATGGGGGCAGAATCGAATATAAATCCGGATTTATGAGGAGAATATTGAGAGCAGGATTGTGAGAAGAAAAAAGATTACGAGATCAGTGTAAAATGACCTCACTAATCGACAAGAAAGACTTACTATCTACACTAATATTATAAAGAGTTTTGTTTGTTTGTATTGAACAGGCTCTGAAACTACTGGACTGATTTGGAAAATTATTTCTTCATTAAAATCTTATATTATTTCTAATGAACATAAGCGGTACGATGTTCGCCGGGTCTGCTCCTTAAGTATACAATGAGGCTAAACGTAGCATGTCATAAACATCTCAAAAACTTAGAATACATAAGTATTATTCATTCATAAAAAGTTATATGACCATTTGCATCAATTTATATAACCCATTATATACTTCTACAGTGCCAATTTTCATACTAATAGTCCACACATTCAATATTAATTGGCCACCTAGCTCACCTCAATATTAATTACATTTTTGCATATTGCAAACTCTGTGATTTTATAGCGCTGTGTGTATTAGAACTTTAATTGGATTCGGTTCATAGGTTTCCCTAAAATTGGGATTTGTTTACGAATAGACAAACATTTGGTTAATTTTAAACGGGTTTTGGGTATTTTATAATAGTGTCCGTATAATTATTGACAATAACCGATTATCGTGTGAAACCAGATAATTTGCATTGTTCAGTTGAAATCATAATATTTTCATACAACTTACTCACTTAGCTCTATGTAATTATTTACCTATACGTTGTAGTACAACATGAACTTTTTAAGGTAAATTTTTTTTAAATACATACTTCATTTTCCAATTGCCGCTTCTGACTTATGCCCGTTTTCACCATCAATCCCTAATTTTTAAGTGACCCCTATGGTAACACATAACAGGAATTTTGTTGTCAAAGGGGTCACATAGAAATTATGGATTGATAGTGAAAACAGGAATTAATATGGCCACATCTAAAGCTGTGATTACCTAGTTGTTACAAATCAAAAGATGAAGATGAAAATCTTATAAAACAGCAATTATAAAAATGTCTACTCTAGTGCACCTATTTAATAAAAGTTGTTTAACTTCGACAAGTTGTCGTAGCGTAGTTGTTATAAGTTCGGCCTTCGCTGTTAAATAGTTCTCTCAAAGGAAAGAAAGGAGCTATTAAACAAGTTCAAAAGTACCCTAATTACATCGTCAGGTACTTTTCTCGGCTACTTATTTTAAAGGAAGTAAAATTAAATTATAATTATGCAATAAAAAATGAAGACATAATAACTCTACAACACACTTGCGAGTATCTCTATCAAATTATCGTACTGTCAAACCTTTGGAATACTGTAGCTTAAAAGTTATTTTTTATGTTTATCACTTTTTGTATTTTTAAAAGGCGGTTTAACGTTGGTTTCCATTTATGTCCATTGTTTTTAAAGAAAAGTAGATGTTTGAACATTTTGATGAAGTAACAAAGTGCATGAATAACTATGAAAAAGGTTGTGATAAAATACCCAAGCCTAAAATGTCATCATCATTATCATCATCTCAGCGATAGGAAGTCCACTGCTAAACATAGGCCCCCCCTACTGCTTTCCATGTTGCTCGGTTGGTAGCGGACTGCGTCCAGCGCCTCCCTAAAATCTATCCACTGAAATTCGTAAACTAGTTACGAAGTAACTGTAATTCAGTCACGCGTAACGTCATCCCACACTTACAAGTTGATAGCGCCCCCACTTAGCATACAGTCCACCTACATACACATATGCCACGCTGGGAAAAGTTTGAAAAACACGTAGGAACCCATTTAAGCGGGAGTGAATCTCGGTGGATCGGGTCTCACTAACGGGCCAATTTGCATGCAAGTATTCGCGCATAAATGCGGAAAGTGTCTTGTGTGAGCTCGTTCGGCTCGGCGAGCTCGTTAACGACGCATTAGAGGATGATGTACAACACTAATTACGATAAAAGCAACGATCTGTTTCAACTGCGTGTTGAAACATATGATAATTTTGCCGACGTACGGTTTAGTGATGGGAATTAGACGACGTTGTAAGGAAAAATTGCACTAATTACAGTTTTCAAAGTTTTATTACGTCTGATCGTAAGGACAATCAAAATTGAAACAACAATAAATCGAAAAATAAACAACATTTGGCATTTTCCAACTACGTAGGTACAAAATAAAATGAAATCGTGTACCAAATTAGATATAATTACAAAGGTTAGCTCAGTTAGGCACCTAATTATGTCGCTATGATATGAGTAAACAATTAAGTACGGCCAAACTAACAAACCTATTCATAATTAATGTGATTACAATTATTGGTAGTACATAAATTAAGTATTAATAAAAATATGGAAATAGTACTAGCAAGCTGGTTTGCAGATTTTTCTATCTATGAACCGTTATTAACTATCTCTTTTTGACCCCATTTAAAGCTTTCTATGACAAAAACGTTAATAAATTTTTAGTAGTAGGAGAGTAGGAGTTAGGTAGGACTTATTAATAGACAAAGTACCTAGTATTAGGAGGCAATAAAAAAAAGTTAGTCGATGTCACTTGAAACACGGTTTTAACAGTAGCGGCGTAAGGGGGGGGCGGTGGGGTCCGCCCCGGGTGCCAAGCATCAGGGGGTGACAAAGTCGCGCAGATTAGTACTCACTGCATGGCAAGGACGGTCGTGATGTCATGACAAGGGGGGGTGCCATTCTGGGGTGCCTTAGGCTATAATTTATATTATGACGGGGGGGGGGGGGGGGCCGCCCCGGGTGCCAACCTATGCTACGCCGCCACTGGGTTTTAACGTTTGTTTAAGTTTTTTGCAATAACACATGAGTTAACTAAACATTATCCATATTTTAATCTAATGCACTTCACCTAATATTGCAAACTGAAATGATGTTCAACTCATTAAGAGCCGCCCAACTTGCGCTAAGTCTTGAACCATGCTTCGGCATCCGTAAGTAGTTACTAAGTTTTGACTAATTTCGACTGAAGTTGTTTTATCGCGTACTGCATCTACACTAATATTGGTAACGACGACGTTTAGTTACCGTGCACTAGCAAAGTTTTACGGTGATGCATTATAACACTGAACGTGTGCAAACAAACATAAAAATTATGTAAAATCACTATCTATTAACGGGACTATTCCCACCTCTCGTTCCCACCACTGCAACTCCTGTGTAGCCAGGATCTACAGCTTGACCGCCACAAAAACCCAACCAATGAAGGTCAAGTTTGTGCCGGGGGATAGTTAAACTGTCATTGGACCCGCAACGAAATTAATCAGAAGAACATAGGAGGAGTTCGAAATTAAGGTTCGATTTCCCTCCATTGCAAAGCGGATGACAGGTGACAAACAAAGGTTTAAAACCTTTAAGAAAAGATTATGCACCACGGACAATAAAAAGGGGGCCCATCTTATGAGCAATTAGCAAGTACCTGCCAATTATATTCCTTGTCGCGACAAGATCGGTGTAATAAATTGCGGAAACAGATGTATGTTGTATTGAATTAAGCATTATATCACGTTCATGTTTCCAAAGATCACACTCCCACAAGATATGATGGGCAGACTGCTCATAACTATTAGTAAACTGTAGATTGTAATTTTAT